TCACACATGGCGTCCTTTGAAGGTTCTCTGTGATTTGCATTGTGTATGTCTGTGGCTCTGTGTGGCAGTGCGGAGTTGAGAAGACTGTTGACTCTTTTCTTTTGATGTTGGGCGGATCTGCTTTGGATTAAATCAATACTTTCTTTTCATTCACAGAGGGAAGACGGCTGGCAGGATCCCCCGCTGACTTGAGAGAGAAGAGAAGAGAGCCGATTACAGAGGAATTTGACATCTCCCATAGCAGCCAGAGAGCCATGAGCAGTGCCTTGCTGGGGACTCCCCTCTCGGATGAGACCGGCAGCTTTCGAGAAGACGCCCCTCGCCCGCCAGTGCCAGGAGAAGAAGGCCAGACACCATGCCAGTTCCCAGCGCCAAGCCAAAGATCCAAGTCTGCATCACGTTCTGATCCCCCCCGGAGAAATGAAGATGGTTTGGGGGAGCCGGAAGGCAGTGCGTCCCCTGACTCTCCGCTGGCACGGTGGAACAAGTCCTTGCATTCCTTGCTGGGTGATCAGGACGGAGCTCATCTCTTCCGGACTTTCTTGGAAAGGGAAAAATGCGTGGATACTTTAGACTTTTGGTTTGCCTGCAATGGTTTCCGACAGATGGACATCAAGGACCCTAAAGCGCTGAGGGTGGCGAAGGCTATCCACAAACGCTACATTGAGAACTGCGGCGTGGTGTCCAAACAGCTGAAGCCCCCGACCAAAGTTTTCGTCCGGGACTCCATCAAGAAGCAGCTGATCGATTCCACCATGTTTGACCCGGCTCAAGCGGAGATTCAGCTGATGATGGAGGACAATGCCTACCAGATGTTCCTCACCTCCGACATATACCTGGAGTACGTCAGGACTGGGGGAGAGAACACGGCTTACTTCAACAACATGGGACCCGGGAGCTTGAAACTGGTCAGCGGCTATCTGCCCACCTTAAACGAGGAGGAGGAACTGAACTGTGTGGACCTACAACACAAGGGCTCACCATCGGTGGTGGCTCTGTCCAGCAAATCTTTGAGGGCTACTGCCCATTCCCGAGCCAAGGAGACCATTGACCATTGCTACAGGTAGGAGCCAGCTTTCATGTCTTCTCCGCGTCACCGTCCAGCCATGTGTGAGCTGTTCTGGTGGACTGATGATGAGTTGTAGTCCTCCTCGGTGACCCAATGTACTATTTATGGTCCGGTTTGTGTTGGTGGTAGTTGCTTGTCCTGGTCCCCAGTGTTTGCCTGCAATGTCCTCCTCGGTGACCCAATGTACTATTCATGGTCCGGTTAGTGTTGGTGGTAGTTGCTTGTCCTGGTCCCCAGTGTTTGCCTGCAATGTCCTCCTCGGTGACCCAATGTACTATTCATGGTCCGGTTAGTGTTGGTGGTAGTTGCTTGTCCTGGTCCCCAGTGTTTGCCTGCAATGTCCTCCTCGGTGACCCAATGTACTATTCATGGTCCGGTTAGTGTTGGTGGTAGTTGCTTGTCCTGGTCCCCAGTGTTTGCCTGCAATGTCCTCCTCGGTGACCCAATGTACTATTCATGGTCCGGTTAGTGTTGGTGGTAGTTGCTTGTCCTGGTCCCCAGTGTTTGCCTGCAATGTCCTCCTCGGTGACCCAATGTACTATTCATGGTCCGGTTAGTGTTGGTGGTAGTTGCTTGTCCTGGTCCCCAGTGTTTGCCTGCAATGTCCTCCTCGGTGACCCAATGTACTATTCATGGTCCGGTTAGTGTTGGTGGTAGTTGCTTGTCCTGGTCCCCAGTGTTTGCCTGCAATGTCCTCCTCGGTGACCCAATGTACTATTCATGGTCCGGTTAGTGTTGGTGGTAGTTCCTTGTCCTGGTCCCCAGTGTTTGCCTGCAATGTCCTCCTCGGTGACCCAATGTACTATTCATGGTCCGGTTAGTGTTGGTGGTAGTTGCTTGTCCTGGTCCCCAGTGTTTGCCTGCAATGTCCTCCTCGGTGACCCAATGTACTATTCATGGTCCGGTTAGTGTTGGTGGTAGTTGCTTGTCCTGGTCCCCAGTGTTTGCCTGCAATGTCCTCCTCGGTGACCCAATGTACTATTCATGGTCCGGTTAGTGTTGGTGGTAGTTGCTTGTCCTGGTCCCCAGTGTTTGCCTGCAATGTCCTCCTCGGTGACCCAATGTACTATTCATGGTCCGGTTAGTGTTGGTGGTAGTTACTTGTCCTGGTCCCCAGTGTTAGGGATCGGCCATGGACAGGAACCTCGAATGGGGGACTGGTAATACTTCTCACCTCGATGTTTGTCAGCCGGGTAATCTGATTGCTTTTGTTTTGTGTACTTTGTTGGGGAGAAGGATGATGTTTTGTCCTCGGCCTGGATGACGGTCCCAGGAGGTGTGTGGAGGGTCTCGGGAGGTTGTCACGTTGTGTATATTGGGGTCCTCAGCCATTGCTGAGCATGTGGAGAGTGAGGTGACCCCGGGCATATGAACGCACACGCAGCTGGTACCCTGCTCACCCCAGGTGACCCTCCTCGGGAGATGCTCGCTAGTTGGAGGAGATCGCCCTCTGCTGACTAAGCTCGCACCTACACCAACACTGACCCCATTGGGATGCCATGGCACGGAACATCAGCATGGAGGACGCATGTTTCATCCGACCGCACAATATATAATGAGGAGAGATGAACGTCCACCAGCAATATCAGTCATTGTTACAGAGATATATACCGTATTATTATTCACCTGCAGAGCATTACTCCATCCCATCTACTACCGAACAGTTACATGATATATTCTGCAGATGATTCCATCACTGACCCCTCTACAGATCTGCAGAACATTGCTCCGTCCCATCTCCCCCCTGACAGATCCATATTGCTATATTCTGCAGAGTATTCCATCACTGACCCCTCTACAGATCTGCAGAACATTGTTCCGTCCCATCTCCCCCCTGACAGATCCATATTGCTATATTCTGCAGAGTATTCCATCACTGACCCCTCTACAGATCTGCAGGACATTGCTCCGTCCCATCTCCCCCCTGACAGATCCATACTAATATATTCTGCAGATTATTCCATCACTGACCCCTCTACAGATCTGCAGAACATTGCTCCGTCCCATCTCCCCCCTGACAGATCCATACTAATATATTCTGCAGATTATTCCATCACTGACCCCTCTACAGATCGGCAGAGCATTGCACCTTCCTCCCCCCCCTGACACATCCATATGGATATATTAGGTCCCCGTGTCCTGGTCACCTGACCATTGGGGTTGTCCTCTGGCTCCAGCGGCCATGCTGCGGGGGTGTCTCCTGCAGCGCCGGGGAAAGGGTTAAGGCATCAAAGCCGGGAGGGTAATTGGAAGGAATGTTTTGTCTTTGAAGTGATGACGGGAAGAGGAGCCAGAAGAGCCTTATAATGGATACAGTGTGTACTTGTACTGCGCTCCGCTCTATTACGGCTGCACAGATGATTCCGAGATGAAAGTAACACATTTCATCATCAGATGTGCAGAGCTCAGGGGAAGCACGGGGCCCCGGGTACCCTGACTGTACCCTACGGGGCCCCTCCACCAACCACACAGGGGTGAGCTGTCCGGGATCCGGACCCCAACAAATGTTCATTCAGGAAGATGAAACTTCTACCCCTGACCCTGAATTATGTTTGGAGGAGGAAGTCACATCCATGGGGGGAGGGGACATCAGACTGCATTGGAGAGGTGTTGGGATGTGAAGCCGGGACCCCGGTGCTGCGGTGTATCTGCGGATGACTGGGTCCCGGCTGTCAGGTGACATGATGGGATGATGTGATTGGGCTGTGTATGGAGAGGCCGGTGATTGGTGCATTAGAGTAGCCATGGAGCGGATGAGAGGCGGGAGGTTCCATGTTCCCCTGGAGGGCGCAGAGTCCGGGGATCACCATGACCTGCAGGGGCCCCGCCAGCACTGTATCCGGGGGGCCTTCCATTGGAGGACACGTGGTATTGGTGCCGGTCCGTCGGGTTACTGACAATATGTTAGTCAGGAGATGAATGGCGAGCAGTGTTTATAGAACACGAAAATATTCCGCAGCGCTGTACACCGATTGGCCGGCTCTGGGTATGGGGGTGGGGTCAGTATACACCTTATATCTGCCTGGCGTTGTGTATCCTGCGCCGACCACGAAGGGTTAACGCGGGGCCACATTGGGGTGACATCATCTCTGTTCTGTCCCGCAGGGCGTACAAGAGGAGCGACCCCGCCAACCCGTACCACGTGGGCTCCGGCTTCGTGTTCGCCCCGGCCGCTAGCACCAATGAGAGCGAGCTGTCCAGCGACGCCATGACGGACGATTCCATGACGGACAGCAGCGTGTAAGTGACCGCGGGGTGCGCTCTACTGCCCCGTGCGTGTGCGTGTGTGCGTGCGTATGCGTATGTGTGTGCGTATGTGTATGCGTGTGCGTATGCGTGTGCGTATGTGTATGCGTGTGCGTATGTGTGTGCGTATGTGTATGCGTGTGCGTATGCGTATGTGTGTGCGTATGTGTATGCGTGTGCGTGTGTGTGCGTGCGTATGTGTGTGCGTGCGTATGTGTGTGCGTGCGTATGCGTGTGCGTATGTGTCGCTTTAAGGATACTTCAAGAGCCGGTAATAAGCATAGAATACAGAGCT